TGAAAATTTTGAAAATTTTGAAAATTTTGAAAATTTTGAAAATTTTGAAAATTTTGAAAATTTTGAAAATTTTGAAAATTTTGAAAATTTTGAAAATTTTGAAAATTTTGAAAATATGACGAACCGTTTAAAAATTACCAGACATTTATTAAAACAAAAAAGCAAAAAATTTTTATATATTTCATACAGAATTCTATTTTTTTTTTAATTCCTTATAAAAATAATCGAAATAAATACTTTTAGGTTTACAAAATAATTAAGGTTGCTCCACCCATAGTTTTGTAATTATTGTTATTTTTTGAAAATTTTATAAAAATCGGACTGAAATAGAGGCTCTGAAGGAATTAAAAATTTGCTTATAATTTGCTTACAAAGTGCGTAAAATTGTACTTTCTTCCACTAGTGTGTAAAGTAAAACTCTTTACTACTGAAAAAAAGTAAAATTTGACAAAAATTGTACATAGCAACAAAATATTTTACGTACTAGTGAAAAACAGTTACTTTTATATTTCTAATATTAGTGGATAAAGTGTAAGATAGTAGAAAAAATATTGTATGCAACTCGTGTGTTAAGTCCCTTCTTTAACTCATATGGAGAGCGGTTCCGTAGAGTATAAAAGTTATAAAAAAAATATTTAGAAGCTCCTGATGTCGCTAGAGAGACTTGGAGTATTTTAGGAAAATATGTAAATTCTGGACCACAAAAATTTTTATTGCTTAATCTAAAAATTTGAAAAAATTCAACATAGGCTATTTTGGCCATAAAAAACGGATAGGGCTCATATGGAACGAGATATGGGACTGAAAGTGGGTTTTCGAGCAATTTTGGGGCCCTACGAGAAAACTGAGAAGCCCTAGAAAAATTTCGAGGTAATTTTCGACTTTTCCAGACCCAAATTACCAAAAAGAAGATTGTCAAGTATTTTGAGATAAAATAAAAAAAAATAATATGCCCACGTGCGCAAAAAAAAAGGCGCGAAAAATTGAAAGTCTAACTTGTAAAGGAAAAATCGTACAAACTTTTGGAGGTCATTTTCTTTCTTTTCATGACATTTTAAGGTATTCCTCGACCTGAAATGTCATAATTAGTCGATTGTTTGGAAAATAATTTTTTCTTTTTAGGAAAGAGATCTCACCTCGAAAAATTGAAAGTCTAACTTCTAAAGAAAAAATCTGATGTGTCCAACACATGACTTTCCTATCTAGTTAACCTATTGCAGCATCTCTAAAAATGTTTAGAGGATAAACTAAATGTATACATTTTCCACATACATCTACTTCGAAACATTTTTCTATAGATATTCATTGAAAACGAAAATACTGAAAAATTTAAATTTAGCACTTTTCCTCCAATTTTTCCATTACGGTCCATTTTAGAAAAGTCATTTAAAAACAAAAATTATAGAGATCGATATCGCAAACAACTTTTAGTTTAACAATTTTCTTAAAAATCAGAATTTTGCACATTTTGTCAAATTTCTCGAATACGGACCATTTCAGGAAAATTTGACATGTAACAAAAATTATAGATAATAATATTTTAAGTAACTTTTATTTAAAGAATTTTCTTCCCCAAACGTAAATAACGAATATATTCCATAAAATATAAAAATGACCACCAATAAAGTACCCCCCCAAATGTTCCGACTCTGTCCAAAATCTAATCAGTTCACCTCAGGTCGAAATAAAACTTAAGTATAAAATTTAATGTTTCTTCCTTTATCCGTTTTTGAGTTTTCTTCAAAATTCGAAATTTACACATTTTCTCAAATATCTCGAATACGGTCCATTTTAGAGAAATTATGTATAGAATAAAAATGATAGAGAATTATATTACAAACAACTTTTATTTAAACAATTTTTATAAAAAATAATTTTTTTTACATTTTGTCAAATTTCTCGAATACGGACCATTTTAGGAAAATTTTGCATAAAACAAAAATTATAGATAATGATATTAGGAGTAACTTTTATTTGAAGAAATTTCTTTTCCAAACGTAAATAACATCTCATTAGACGCTGAAACAAAGCTTAAGTTTAAAATTTGGTGTTTTTCTGTTTATCGGTTCATGAGTTATGCGACCTACAGACACACACACACACATACAGACAGACACACACATACAGACAGACACACACACACACACACACACACACACACACACACACACACACACACACACACACACACACACACACACACACACACACACACACACACACACACACACACACACACACACACACACACACACACACACACACACACACACACACACACACACACACACACACACACACACACACACACACACACACACACACACACACACACACACACACACACACACACACACACACACACACACACACACACACACACACACACACACACACACACACACACACACACACACACACACACACACACACACACACACACACACACACACACACACACACACACACACACACACACACACACACACACACACACACACACACACACACACACACACACACACACACACACACACACACACACACACACACACACACACACACACACACACACACACACACACACACACACACACACACACACACACACACACACACACACACACACACACACACACACACACACACACACACACACACACACACACACACACACACACACACACACACACACACACACACACACACACACACACACACACACACACACACACACACACACACACACACACACACACACACACACACACACACACACACACACACACACACACACACACACACACACACACACACACACACACACACACACACACACACACACACACACACACACACACACACACACACACACACACACACACACACACACACACACACACACACACACACACACACACACACACACACACACACACACACACACACACACACACACACACACACACACACACACACACACACACACACACACACACACACACACACACACACACACACACACACACACACACACACACACACACACACACACACACACACACACACACACACACACACACACACACACACACACACACACACACACACACACACACACACACACACACACACACACACACACACACACACACACACACACACACACACACACACACACACACACACACACACACACACACACACACACACACACACACACACACACACACACACACACACACACACACACACACACACACACACACACACACACACACACACACACACACACACACACACACACACACACACACACACACACACACAGACATCATCGCGAAAATAGTCAAAACGGATTCAGGGGACCTCAAAACGTAAAAATCCGTCGAAAACTCGAGGTCGAAAAAAATCATGATTCCTATACTTTCCTTATATCTGTATACAGATAGGAAAGTAAAAATCACACAAACTTTTGGAGGCCATTTTCTTTCTAAGGTATTCCACGACTTGAGATGTCATAATTAATCGACCATTTGGAAAATATTTTTTTTTCGGAAAGAAGATTGCGACTCGAAAAAATGAAAGTCTAACTTCTAAAGGAAAAATCGCACAAACTTTTATTGGTCATTTTCTTTCTTTTCATGACATCTTAAGGTATTCCACGACCTAAAATGTCATAATTAGTCGACCGTTTGGAAAATAATTTTTTTTCGGGAAGAAGATTTCTCCGCGAAAAATTGAAAGTACAACTTCTAAAGGAAAATTCTCACAAACTTTTAGAGACCATTTTCTTTCTTTTCATGACATTCTAAGGTATTCCTGGAATATAACAGAAAATATTTTATTAGCTTAGTTTGTCTGGAAACTCAATATTTAGTTTGCTTCTTATAAAACTTTTCAAAAGAGCCTCGTAGTTTGTTTTGTAGCAATTTTATTATTCACTTATTGTATAAAACGAGTTATCAGTGTTAATTTACTTTCAATAAGTAATTATATTACTATAAAAAACATCTATAGTTCATTAAACCTGTTTATTTTAATTTTTTTAATATATTTACAATTTTAACTAGTTAAAAAAAAATAAAACAATGAATGGTAAGTGTTTTTATATCATTGTAAGAATGTAGAAATACGTAGTTACAAAAACAAATCTGACAGAAATCCAAATGTATACGTAAGATACATTTATATTATTTTTTTTAATCAAAGTTCATAGATATAGAAATAACATTAATTTTATTATTTTTGTAAGATAAAGTACCAAATAAATTGAAATTAGTTTTGCAACTATATACAGGGTTGGCAACATTGTCAAAAATGTTACATATGTTCAAATTTTATGTAATTTTCATTTCAATATCTAAGATAATGAATTTTCAGCCACTTATGACTCCAGAAAAGCAATTAATTGCTGTTAATTAACATTATTTGATCTCATTTAGTAACAAAAGTATTAAAATCCCTTTAAAATCACAGTATACTCCCTAATATCACCTTTTTTTACCTATATACAGAGTGTTCCATCTCAGACGAGTATATTTCTTATCCCATAGTAATTGGAAAAATTTCCCGAAATACGCCGGATGATTTTCTTTGGGGGACATATTTTGACGTATATTTGAGACTTGAACGCTTCAATCCCTCAAAATTGAATAGGGAAGAGGGGTTGAGTGATACTTCATTTGTACTATTTAGGAAGAAAGTACGAAGAAAGGACGGGAAATCCACAGGAAGTACGTAGAAGTACGGGAAAGTTCTGGGAAGTACGGGGAAATACGGAAAAATACAAAGAAGTACGAGGAAGTACGAGAAAGTAAGCAGACATTACAAGAAGTATGTAGGAAGTAAGGGAAAGGGAAGCATTACATTTTTGGGAAGTAGTACACAAAATTTTGATAGCAGTTTACTCCTCGCTTTGAAGGCGTTTTAATATTTTGTTCGCAAAATAAAATCAAATAATCTTAATAAACTGCAAATAATTACTTTACTATTTAAATGAGAAGATATTTAATTTTTTTACCATTATTCCAGTTTTGACAATGTTATCGACCCTATATAAAATTGCAAAATCCATTCATTCGATACTTACTGGTCTAAGGTAATTTGAAATATTTTTTTTAGTTAAAATTAAAAATGTTGATCACAAATTTTAATGATTTTAGATGCAAATATATATGGTTTAGGAGAGAAACTATTCACATCATTACAAAAACATGGTAAAAAAGTTGCACAGGTAATTATTAAGCTAAAAAATATTATTTGATACGTTAATTTTAATTTATAATCACTAAAATACTAATTTATTTATAAACAAAATTTATTTTTACTCAAAATTACACTATTTGTATCTCAAATACTTATTTTATATATTATATGACTAGTATAGTATATAAATTATTAAATTCGCAACAGGTCAATAGCCAATCATTGACTAGAATTAGAAGATATGATAGTGGAATATTAGCCGAACCGAATATTAGTCACAAAGCTACACAACACATCGAGAGCGGGGATATCGTATCTGCCCCATGTTGGCTGTGAAAGAATACAAAATAATATATACCGTATATTAATTTATATTAAGAATTAACAAACTAAGCATATACTAAACTTATATTGATAAAGTTAGAGAATTTATGTAAAAAAATGGGTGGTTCCAGACCTGTCCCGAAGTCTCTAGATCATCCATACTCAACCTGCGGCCCTCCAAACATTTTTGTGTAGCCCCAGATGTTATGGATGTAATAAGTCAATATTTGGAGAAACATAGACTTAGTGGCAAAAGCTTGCGGGGTTTTGTACGGACGGTGCACGGTGCTCCTGCTATGCTTGGTTCCCGTTCTGGTCTTGTAGCGTTGATAAAAACAAAAAATCTATCTGCAATTATGACGCACATTCGAGAAAAGAAATAATCTTAAAAATTTTTGGTGCCAAAAGGCAATTTCTTTCCCAAATGTTCGAGGTAAAATGCTATACGTTATCTAACTTTGTTTTCATCGTCATATCTATGCGACCAGGATTTCTCGGCACTTCTGATAATTAAAAGCAAGCACAGAAATCGGCTGGATGCCAGTGCTGACATGCATTTGGCTTTAAGTAACACTGAACCAAGGATTCAGAAGTTAGCAAACAGTATGCAATCACAAAAACCTCATTTGAATGTTATGCCTGTTTTATTTATAGATAGAACAACCCTTTATTTGTTTACTGTATAGAGAGAGAGAGAGAGAGAGATATGCTTTATTGTCGTAAAAAAATTTACAAAAATTTTAAAGACAAAGCGTGTAACTTAAATACTAAACATATTATAAAAATAACTAAACAGCAGAAAAAACAAACAGAAACAAACAGACAAAATAGGAATAACAATTGCAATGGATATGCAATATCCGTCATTATAATTATTCTAATTTAATTTTTAAATTTAAATTTAAACTTTAATATTTAATTATTTAATTAATGCCATTGTATGTGGAACTCAAATGTCTAAGGTACGTTATAAAATTCTGCTACTGTGTAATATGGTCTTTCTAGAAGAAAAGCTTTAGCCAGTCTTCGGAACTTATCGTATGTATTTATAGATTTTAATTGCATCGGAAGGTTATTATACAATTTTTTGGCATTGTAGGTAATGGAATGTTTTAATAGGTCAGAAGTGGGCATTGTTAAATAAACATCAGTCTCTAAATTTCTTGTAGGATATCTACGAGTCGGTCTTTCGGATAAATTTTGAATGTGCTTGCGAACTAAGCAGACGGATTCGAAAATAAATAGAGCAGGAAGGGTTAGAATTTTGAAATTTTTGAAGTAATTTTCGCAATGTGTCCTACTACTTAAACCAAATACATAGCGGATTGCTCTTTTTTGCAGTTTAAAAATAGATTCGAAAAGGTATAAGCTACAAGAACCCCAGAAAGGTAAACCATAGCGAAGGTAAGATTCGAATAAGGAAAAGTAGGTTATTAATGCAGTAGAAGGAGTCAGCTCTTTAGAAACCGATTTAATGGCAAAACATGCGGAGGATAATTTTTTTGCTAAGGTATCTATATGAGCAGACCATTTTAGAGAATCGTCTATATAAAGACCTAAAAACTTGATTGAAGTCACCGTTTGGATCAGATTATTGTTTAAAGTTATAGGTTGTAAAGTACCTCTGTAAGACAATGCCACAGTTTTACTGGTGTTGAAACAAAGTCCATTCGAATCAGACCAGGACTTAATAGTCACTAGATCTTCACTTATGATAGATTGTAATGTCTGCATGTTAGAATTATTCCAGGTTACACTGGTGTCATCAGCAAATAAAGTAATTTTACCACTTATTCTTAAGTCTGTGATGTCGTTGAGGAATAATAAAAACAAAATTGGACCTAATACTGATCCTTGAGGTACTCCACTGCTTATTGCTAGATTTGTAGAATCCTCACCATTCGCCCGCACCTGTTGATTTCTATTTTCTAGGTAAGTTTTAAACCATTGTAAAGGAGAACCCCGTATGCCATAAATTTGTAACTTATTAATTAAAATATCATGATTTACACAATCGAAGGCCTTTGCGAAGTCACAAAATACTGAAGCGGTGAAAAGTTTATCATTAAGTGATGTGTATATTTTATTAAGAACGGAAAACATTGCGTCGCTAGTGCATTTTTTAGGTAGAAAGCCATACTGATGAGCTGTGAGGATGTTATGCTTGAAAAGAAAGGGCAAAAGACGGTTTTTCATTAGCCGTTCTACTATCTTCGATAAGGTAGGCAATAACGCGATAGGTCTATAGTTACAGGTTTTGGTTTTGTCGCCACCTTTATGAAGTGGGATTATTATAGCTGTTTTTAGACAGTTAGGAAAGAGACCAATTTCAAAGGATTCATTAATCAGTGAAGTTAAAATGTTGATTACTACATCCGGTATATTTAGAAATATTTTGGTGGACAGGCCATCAATTCCACAGGAAAATTTATTTTGGATGTTGTTTATGGTTTGCACTAGTTCATGCTTGTTTACTGGTCTTAGGAAGAAACTTTCAGTGATCCTTTTAGTAGGTAGGAGGAAGGAGAGAGCATCCTGACTCGGAGCTATGTTAGATTTGATATTTTTACTTACATTTACGAAATAATTGTTTAGTTCATCTGGGCTAGGATTTACACTGTTTGAAGAACGGGTTTTATTCCTCAAGTCATTTATTATAGACCAGGTTTCTTTGGAGGAGTTTTTAGCTCTTGCGATGCGATTTTTGTAATAGTTTTTCTTAGCAGATTTGGTGATTTTCCGATACAATATTCTGTAGTTGTTGATATAGTTTAATATTAGGGGATTATTTGTGTACTTTTTAATATACATGAGTGACCTCATATTTTTAGATGATGTTCCTTTAGTTGTCCAAGATTTATGACATTTAGTTTTAATGGGGCGAAGGGGGAAAGCTGTATTGAAACACATAATTATTTTATTTAAGAAGTCTAAAAATTTAGAGTCAATATCTTTACTTCCAAACAGTTTGTGATCCATGGCAAGGCAGAAATTTTGTGAAATGGTCCCTCATCATTAAAAGGTTAAGAACCACTGATATAATTAATTTTTCTGCGTTTATGTGTATTGTATCATTAAAAGTTGTCTTATATAATGTCTTTACTATATTTAATTAGTACTCCAATACTTATATTTACCAATTACTTTAATTATGTATTTTATATTTGTGAATCTATTTTAAATATTTCTAGGAAAATCTATTTTATTTTGTAATATTTGTAATATTTTAGTTTCTAGCTGACACAGATGAAGTCAATACATACTCAGACCTTTTAACTCGTAGTATAAGGACAGCAATAAAACTTAAAGCACAAGGAATTAAACGAGGCGATATTGTATCCACCTGTACCCATAACAACAAAGATAACTGGATTCCTTTTCTGGCTTCACAGTTTTTGGGTGCAATCTCGGCAAATTTTGACGAAAACCTATCACCATTAGATACTGTACACTTGTTGAAACTAATTAAACCCAGGATTCTTTTTGTTTCTCAAAATGCCTTAGAATTTATGGAAAGTTGTTTATGTAAAGCAAATGTCAATACACAATTGGTAGTATTTGGTGACAGTCAAAAGTACAATACGTTTTCCGAATATGTGGAACCATGTGACGAAGAAACAACTTTTTATCCTGTTAAAGTTGAAAACGAAAACGATATAGCAGTGATTATATTTAGTAGTGGAACAACTGGATTACCAAAAGGAATTTGTTTACATGACAAATGTTTATTGAATATATCTAAAGCAAATCTATTTAAAATTAACAACAGTGAAGATAAAAACGTTGTTGTATTATTTTATAGCACACTTTACTGGATTAGTTGCGTATTTTCCCTAATAAAGTGTGTATCAAATGGATACTGTTATGTCATTTGCAAAAAATTTGATCCAGCCAACTCTTGGAGACTCATTGAAAAATATAAGGTAAAAATAATTTTATCTACTATCAATATGTAATGTCAAACTTTACAGTTGTCACTTGAATTTCGGAATCAGCACTAGTGCGGTAAAGTATCGGAATTCCCAATATGTTGCTTTTTACATTATATAACATCAGGTTACCTATTTTTGGAAAATGGTTTTATTTACAAAATTAAGAAAAATATTAATAAAATTTACCTTCATCATTAAATAAGCTTCATCGTTGGCTTCTTTTAAAAATGTATGTATTTCGTTTTTGGAAAAAATTCTTGATATTTTTGGATTATAACCCTTCACTTTTCCGTTTTAAGAAAGCCAACAGCTGGGTATATTTGCTAATATCCAAGTTTCTCTTCGTCAAAATAGTGGCCCTTTACATGGAATAGTGAGTCCACAATGTAGATGGTTTTTCAACTGCGGCTCTTTCGAAAAAATAAGCCAATAAAATCTTTTCCGAAACACCATCGACATTTTTTAATTTGCACCACTCTTCAAATCGCGGGAACTCTATTTCATATCTATTCCTAGATTTTGCAGGAATTAAAGTTTCAATGGCTTCGTTAGCTGCCAATTCAATACTCTTCACAAATATTCATAATAATTATTATTTTGAGTTATTATTTAGAGATGATTTAGAGTTATTATTTTTTTTTTTTTTTAAATTATGGCCTAGGTGTATATACCTAATATGCCAGTCTCAAATTTGTGTTTAAATTCTCAATCATGTGTGTTCTGTGTAGGCTTTGTTACTGTTTCCCAGCGCCACTTTAGGAACAGCACTGTTAATTAGAACCCAACAGTGAATGGTCGAGTGGGGAATCCTACCAAGGCATCAGAATTAATTTTAAATAATTAAATTAAATGAAAAAATTCCGGCCAACGGTGGGATTCGAACCTGGGACCCTTGGATCCACAGACACAGGCTCTAACCACTGAGCCACCCACCCCCGAGTTATTATTTAGCCAACAAACAATACCTAGCAAGGCTACTATGTTTTGTCTCGCAAAAATTATTAATGTCAATTATGACTATGCTAAAGGTGAATTCAAATATCTAACAGACGGCTAACTTCATCTTTGGCATATCAATGTACAGAAAATCTGGTAGTTATTTATTTTTTTTGATAGTAGATATAATTTTGTACAATATTCGTATCGTAAATTCATATTACGATACATCGCGTATCGTAAAATGAAACTTTACGATACTTATATCGTAAATAACTATTATATTAAATAAAAGGAGTGTTATCGTAATTATAAATGGATTGTCAAACAGTAATATATACAATTATCAAATTTGCCTTGTTTAAAACCAAGTTCTATGAAATATTTATCCAATTTTATGTTCCACTAGACTGTTTCAGTCCATATGGAGCTTTGCATAATCTACATACTTTATCAGATTGATTTTTATCTCCAAACATATAGCGTTGTTTCTTCCTTTCCATTTTTACTCAAGAAGATTCCTGGGACCATTCCATTTTCTAATCGCTTTATATTTTCTAAATTATCTACCTTTGTAGTATATACTAAGATCTTTCTCTGTAAGTCTAGCTCATATAGTTCTCCTTTCATGGCCTTGGCTTGGATTTATCTTTTATTTCACATTTCCATTCATTCTTTGTTAACTGCTTACATGAAATTAAGTCAAACTTCAATCCAGGAACATACCTAACAGCTCTTATAGATGTTTGTACTGTAAACTATGAGTATTTAAGATAACCGACGTTTCTCCATAGTGTGTTATCTTAAATTGTAACAATTTCACCATTTATTTATTCTTTAATATATCTGAACCAATCAGAACGTCCTGTAAGATGAATTGAAGCACCTGAGTTCAAATACCATTCTTCTTCCCTCAGATGATTAGTTCTTAAGGCTAAAACGACTAGTCCACCAATCCACAGTTATCCAGAGTCATGATAAAAAGTTTACACTGATCAGGACGACTTACAATGATTAAAGCTGCTAAAGTCACTAAGGATTTGGCTTGGAGGATTTTTTTTTGTGGGGGCTTCGCGAAGAAATGGAAGGGACCTGGCTCAAGGCCCTTTTTGTTTAGAGTCACCAAGAAGAAGTAGGATGTGATTTTGCTCGGACTTTTTTTTTAGAAATGGATAGGGCTCCGTCAAATATTTAGCTTTTCAAAAAGATTGCGTCACCAAAAAAGTTTGAGAACCGCAGCTCTGAATTCGTAAATGCTCTACATTCGTTCCCAAACTTGTTTTATTTTCGACGACTTCACCAACTACCCAAACCATCAAAGAACGCACTAATTTTGGAATAGTTAAGAAAAAAAAGTCAACTTTATATAAAATATCTTTCTAGGTAACCGCTAAGTTCCTGCCACCTTATGACGCCATAGAGTTTTTAAAAAGTAGACCGAAAAACGTTGACGTCAGTAGCTTGGAAATATTTTACACTGGATCATGTCCTGTAAACAAACAATTAATGGAAGATCTGATAGTGGCATTACCGCAAACTAAAATTTTAAATTGCTATGGTTGTTCCGAAACAGGAGGTGTCGCTGCTTCATTTGATTCAACTCTTGTGGCGGAATATAAAATGCAACTTCTGAAACCTACATCTTGTGGCAAGATATGTTCAGATTTGAAATGGAAGGTTAGGAAAAATTATTATTACTAATTTTTTTGTGGGAACAAAATAGACAAAATTAGAATATATTATTTAAATTTTATAAAAACTTATTTTTTAGGTTGTAGATACTACCTCCGAAAATATTCTTGGACCAAATGAAGAAGGTGAAATTAGAGTTAAAGCAGATACAATAATGAAGGGTTATTACAAAATGGATTCCTCGTCAGCCTTTGACTCTGATGGATATCTCAGAACTGGAGATTTAGGATACTATGATGAAGACGAGTGTTTTTACATTATTGGTAGGATAAAGGAAATTTTTAAATATAGAGGATGGCATATTGTTCCCACGATAATCGAAGACGTTCTTACATCGCACCCTGCAGTAAGAGAAGCCGCAGTAATTGGAGTACCACACGAAATTGATGGGAACCATCCAATGGGAATCGTAGTATTAAATAATGGATATGACAATATAAATACAGATACTATTGTTAATTTTGTTAATGAGCGAGTTTCTGAAAGCCAGAAATTGAGAGCTGGTGTTGCAATTGTTACAAATATTCCAAAAACTACAACGGGGAAAATAAAAAGACGAGCTTTGGAAGAGATTGCTTCTTATAAACCAATAATAGTTTCTAATAATATAAAACAGTAATATTGTTAATTTAATTAGATGAAATTAAAACGTTTGTTTAAAACTGAATTTTAAGAACATTTATTTTTATTTTGCCTTTATAAATGTATTTAAATTATTAAAATAATCCTTACTTTTGTGCCAGCTTATTTAAATACAACTTTCATAAAGACAAACTAAGAAGAAAAAAAATACAATTCAAACAAAGCAGAAACTAATTTAAAAAAGGAACTGCCGTTTCTCACTGCCAATGGTAATTTTCTAGCAATTCACGAAGATTATACTAAGTAATAATGAACGGCGCTCTTAAAGTTTAATTGAAATCAAAATTCAAAATGGAATAATTAAGAAATAGAAATTCGGAAGCCGGGTATGAAAGGACGTAAAATCGGGGAATGACCGCCAGGTTTGTGGGAACTCGAGCATGACGAGCGAATGTATTTCGGAACATTTAGGTAAAGTTTTCTCCGTTCCGTTTCCCTGTTTAGTTTTATTCGCATGAATTGCTTAGGACTCGGAAGATATAAATTCCTATTAATGTAAATCACTCTCGTAGTGAATCACTTATAAACATGGTTTAATTTATATAATTAAATATCCCTGCCGAAAAGAGTAGTTTGATTGACCATCCGTGAGTATGTTAAACAGAGAAAAGTTGGAAAGCACACGTATTGCCATTGTAATAAAATATCAGGAGTTAAAATTATATGAAAAAGGCATGTTAAAACTAAAAGAGCTTTAAAAATATAATATACGAGGATGGGATGAAAAGTTTCCGACCTAATCTATAGTAGGCCCGATTTGCTTTCCTGTTCCAACGTGTCTGTGTAGCCTTGCTTGTCGTCAGTAAAACGAGATAAGAGCGGTGGTAAAATATTTCCATATCAAAGGATTATCGCTGACGGAAATAAAAGCTGAACTAGATGCTCCTTCATTTATCACAGTTAAAACCTGGGTAGCGGACTTTAAACGTGGTCGTACTAGCACTGATGATGCTCCGCGTTTTGGCAGGCCAAAAACGGCAACTTCTTAAGAAATAGTGCAAACCGTTCACAAACTAATTCTAAAAGATCGCAGATAAAAATTGGAAGAGGTAGCTGAGGCTGTGGGCATATCAAAAGATATAGTAGGTTTTCCTTTTCTGAACGTAAATTGTTAAACTTTATTTTCCGTATACAGCGAGTTCATAATTCCCGGACCGCTTGGCCTCCTGTGCTAGCGAACCGTAATTATTTCTCAATATTTAAATTGTTTTCAAGTGTATTAATTTATTTTTAATAAATTTTCCGTGTACAGGGAGTTTCAAAATTCCCGGACCGCTTGGCCTCCTGTGCTAGCGAACCGTAATTATTTCTTAATATTTAAATAGTTTTCAATTGTAATAATTTATTTTTCATAAATTTTCCGGATACAGGGATCCATCAATATTTAAATAGTTTTTAATTGTAATAATTTATTTTTCTACACCCGTATTATAATAATGCACTTATATGCCCATAATCCGTTTCATAATGATACCCATTATGATACAGATTTTTCATTATGATACAGATTTTTAATCAATAGAAACCTACAATTTTTCAATCAAGCATGATGTTTGACGTTTGTCCTAAATTCCTATGTAATTGTTTTAGTTGTCAAAACGTATTAAATTTTCGTAGATAGCTAAACTTCGATAATTATAATATTAAAATGTCTGATATCAGCGATATAGAAGACTCCTCCACACATATCGGAGAAAGGAGAAAATGCAGTATAAAATATTTTGCCCCAAAAATCTGTGGTAATACCAATACCCAAGGTAATACCATTAATTACAATTTTGTAGAATTTTTTATAGAAATACGAGTAATTACTGTTATTGTGTTCAATGCCAATATAAATAGAATATTTATAGGTCTTGATTATTTATCGGGTGTAGAAAAAATAGCGTATGCAACTCTCATGTAATGGTTATTAAAACACTCGCATAAACCATACGAAACTCGCCTTTGGCTCGTTTCGTATCCCGGTTAATGCTCGTGTATTAATAACCATCATTACATGATCGTTGCATAATATACTATTTTAATAAATTTTCCGAATACAGGGAGCCGTTAATATTTAATTAGTTTTGAAGTGTAATAATTTATTTTTAATAAATTTTCCGTTCATATTTAATTACCGTTGTATTTTTTTTTTGTAAATGCATATTTTATTACCTATTCCTTTGTTTCTCTTACTGCTGGTTCTTAACCGTTCCCTTTCAGGGTACCGTAGGGCACGAGGTGTAAAGGAGATAACTGTTTTAGTTTTATTTATTCTAGTATAGTGACTACCTAGCAGTGACCGCTTGGAATTATTTTTACCTCCACTTAAGCACTCTGGTGTACTACAGAGTTACAGAGCAAACTGCGATACCAAAACTGGCGCCTGAGCAACCCCTATTCGGGAATCACCATCATAGCGCCACACAGACTCGTTGATTCACAGTAGGTGAACCAGAAGCCTGTCACAAGTGTTAATTTACTTTCAATAAGTAACTATATTACCATACTAAACATCTATAGTTCATTAAACATGTATATTTTTATTTTTTAATATATTTACAATTTTAACTAATTAAAAAAGTGTTAGGCGACAACCCTGTATAGGAACTGTTTGTTATCAGTAAAGGAATTTGAGTTGAGACTCGTGCGGAGATTGTATCGATATTAAAATATTATAAATTAGTTGTTAGGTAATAACGTTGGGAAATATACATTTACAATATACAATGAATAGTAAGTGTTTTTATATTATTGTAAGAATGTAGAAATATGTAGTTACCAAAATAAACTTGACAGAAATCCAAATGCATACGTAAGATAAATTTATATTATTCTCATAGCTACAGTAGTAGTATACAGTGTATTTCATAACTTATCTGACAAATTTTAGCCACATATACAGTGTTATATAAGAAGTCGATTACACAAAATACAGAATCTTAGCTTAAAAATAAAATTATTAATCCTTTTTTTCACAAAATCTGTTCGAAATGGGCTCCATTTGGTTTTCGTTTTGCTTAGGGTTTTTTAAATTTAATTTTGTTGTTTTACACCTTATCCGACAACTTTTAATGACAAATATTATTGAACTTTTTTATTTTCTATATCGTTGGACTTTTATTAAATTTTTTGTGTATTCGACTTCTTGTGTAACTCTGTATATGTGGTTAAAATTTGTTGGGTAAGTTGTGAAACACCCTGTATAATTTATTACCGCGTAGATTTCTAGTTCTACAGATTGGCCAATAAGCAGATGAAAAATATAACACTAATTCTAATATTTTTTAAAATTACTAATAAGATAAAGAATTATATAAAAAAAAAGTTAAAATTAAAAATATTCATCACAAATTTTAATGATTTTAGATACAAATGGTAAAGTGTATGGTTTAGGGGAGAAACTATTCACATCATTACAAAAACATGGTCAAAAAGTTGCACAGGTAATTATTAAGCTAAAAAATATTATTTGATCCGTTTATTTATTTTAATTTATATTCACTATTAATTATTTAATTTATTTTTACTCAAAACCACACTATTTTTATGTTTTACTAAACTTATATCAACAAAGTTGGACAATTTATATTAAAAAATGTGGCGTTCCATATCTATCTCGAAGTATCTAGATGATTTTGATTCGACTAGCCGAAGTATCGGTATCTTGTTTGGTAATTTATAAAAATTTCACTTAGACGATGACAAAAACAGTGGTCAAAAATGGCTCGCACAACACTATAATATTTTTGGATGCGTATAATTGATTTTTCTGCATTTAATAAACATTCTTAAAGTCTATCGTCTAGGTAGGTACCATGGGCTCATGGGCAGAATAATATTCCAGTTTTCAAATTCACTCTACCGTAAATGCACCAGATTTGGAGGTTAACTTATGACCAATATATTGTTATATAGATTGCTCATTTATATTTAACTCGGGCATCAAAACAAAATAAAATAGAGACGACATAAACACTATTTTTCGATATGACAAATGGTCGCACTTCGAGTGACGGAAACGTGTATTGAAAATGACGATTTTAGTGGTATTTTCATTTATTTAAAGTCAATAATTTTTATTTTGAAGACTGAAAGAATGAAAGTGATTTTATATCATTTAAATGATACTATTTAACAATAATTACATTTATTTTCACCAAAACTGAGTAGACAAGACGCGGGTTTCACTGGGCGAGGTTTTCTCTATATCTAAATTTAACAATATGTCTCAGTTTATGATTTTATGTGTTTTGTGTAGGCTTTTTTACTGTTTCCCTGTTATAAAATTGTTTAGATCTCTTAATATTTCAACACGAAAGAATATGTGTTTAAAACATCTTACATAATATCGTGTCTTGAAGTAAGATAAGTCATTCTTTTTTTTGTTGCTGAAATTTTATTTTAAAACACGTTTGGGCCAGAACGATTTTATTTAAAGAACACTTGGAAAGGTGCTTTTCGTAATCCTATTTAAGTAAGGTTGAGCAATCTTTATAACGATATCTATCATTGGTCGTATTGCGAAAAAAGCACCGTGTTGCCAGATTTATGACGTTCAATAGCTATCAAGGATCGCAATGCAATTTTTATTGCATTGCCACTAAGTAGTAATATTTTTAAGTAAATTATCTTTAATATAAGCTTACCTACACAGCATGCCATTTTTTCTATATTTTTCATATGAGATGCTCACCTGTAAAAGATAAAAATGGTTAATGGTTTAATACTTGATATAACCATAATCTATTACTGCTGGTACTTTTAAAGTTTTTAAATTGTCACCCCATACTAATGCCTTGCTTTAAAAGTTGAAAGAATTTCAAATTAAAATAGCTCGTCATAATATTTAGTATCAACTTTAAACAATTTAGGTGAAATGTCTAGTTTTTAAATACAAAATATTTTCAATTGAATCCCATGAAGTTTTTTTTTTATCCATTATTTTAGAATTTTTGAAAAAAAAATTAAGGCAAAATGTGCTAAAAAGTATACACCTAAGATTGGTTTAGTTACATTAGTAATGTTAAAAAGGGAAAGGAAATATTTTTCGTAATTCAACATCTATATTGATAGAATTATTAATAAAAGTAAACACCAATTTTAAATTGCCAC